GGGGGGGTGGGGAGAGAGAGAGAGAGAGAGAGAATGAGTGGATGAGCAGTGTATTGGAAATTAAGAGCCTTTTTTCAAAGACCAAAAATGGTGACTTTGTATATGTGATTACTCCCATTCCATAGCTGTGTATATGTGATTACTCCCATTCCATGGCTGTGTTTTTTACAGTAAAGTGTGTTTCCGGGTGATTGTTTTGCATGTGCATTCATTGGGCCACGTCATCAGAAATCACAAGAGGATAGAGTGGATGATAACTATGAATCCAGCAAGCATTTACACCAAAACATTTTTCAAATTGTGTGGAGTGACTGACGTGTCTAGACCAGGATTTGCCACATCAGCAATTTTAATTGCAGTGCATTTTGTTGGAGATCCACTATCCACCAGTGCAAAAATGCATGTACTGAAAATGAAGTGAAATGAGATGATGTTGATGGTGTATTAGTCAATGTCAAAATAGTTGTAGGCAATTATTATATTAGCATTATTTACACAATTTATCTTTCTTACGCGGTTAAATTAAATTAACCACGAAAGAATCACATTTTTTTAAGTTTTCGCAATTAAAATCAATCAAATCACGACACAATTGCTTTTTCTTTTCATCGTGGTTAAAACCAAACGGATCACAATAAGGTCGTATTTTTCCTTAAGTTGTGTTGTTAAAAACTAATGGAATCACGATAGAGCTGTCTTTTCATTGATTTTTATGGTTAAAATTAAACGATCACAACAAAGCTGTCTTTTTTTTATTTATGCGATTAAAACTGAGCTAATTGGATCACGATAGAGCCGTCATTTCGTTTAAAACTAAATGGATCATGACAGAGCCGCATTTTCCTTAATTTATGCGGTTAAAATTAAACATATCACGAAAGAGCCACCTTTTCCTTGATTATACAGTTAAAACTCAACGGGTCACGACATAGCCATGTTTTCCTTGATTCAAGCAATTGAAAATAAACAGGTCATGACAGAGCTGCCTTTTTCTTAATTTATGTGGTTAAAACTAAACGGGTCACGACAGAGCCACTTTTTCCTTGATTTATGCTGTTAAAACTAAATGGATCACAATAAAGCCGTTTTTTCCTTGTTTCTACGGTTAAAACTTAAAAACCAAACGAATTAGGACAGACCTGCCCTTTTCTTTTTCCTTTTCTTTTAACTGCAAACGAATAACGACATAGAAACATTTTATTTTTCTTTGCAATTAACGACAGTGCCACCTTCTCTTTTTTTTTGGGAATTAAAACCAACATAATCACAACAGAACCGCTGTCACCCGTTTTCTTACCTTAGTCTAATGTTTATTTCTTAGCATTTTGGCCTCACGGATGTCGGAAGATGTCTAATTCGGACCTACGGCATTCCCCAACAAGATGTCAAATTTGAACTCAGTGCTAATATAGTTGTTTCATGCATTTCTGCAATGAGTTCTTGCCTTGATTAGTTAATAGACAAGAATCTTTGTCGGTTGCTTAATTCTCAAGCAAATTAGGGTTTGGTTTTGATAATTAGTTATTTGTCTAATAACCTTACTGAAAAAGTTGGGATTTATTGCGGTATTGTTTTGAAACTTGGAACAAAAGGGAAATAATATTAAAAATAAATAAATAGCTATTATTTTCTGAAGAGATTGGATTTCAAGGTAGGAACGTCTCTGTTGAATGCCTTGGAGGGGTTTGCAACTTTGCATACATGCCCTTTTACATGCAATGGATTTGGATGGGGATTATAAGGTAAGGTTTTCTGAATTCAGAAATGCTGCTTTGGCTGCTTCTTCAACATGCATTAAAATATGAATGAATGGATAAGGTGTGTTGCAATCTTTGTTCCATGCTCATGAAAATCTTAAGAGTTAAGAAACTTTGATGACAAAATACTTGAAGAAACCATAGATTATAATATGGGGGACTTTGGATACTATTCCTAACTACCAATATTTTTTTATTGAAACTTTTGTAGTTTTCAATTTTTTATCGAAGTCTCTGATATTAATGTAATAATGTATTTCTATATAGGTTATTATATTTTTAAATTAAAAATAAAATTTGTAGCTATTTATATTAATGATATTTTAAATGAAACCCATAATTTATGGGATTAAAAATATTAAAGATAAGTTATACTCTCCAATATATTGTATATGTGTGTTTATATATATATATATATATATTGTGGAGCCAAAAATATTCACTAGGCGACACGTGGACTTTTGAACATAAGAGGACAAAAATACCCTTGAGGCATACCGGGATTCCTACGCGCGCGACAGTGGGCAATCATTTTTCAACCAAGTCAAAAGTGCCCAAAATAGGTATCAACTTAAAACCTAATTTATTCATATATTTCCCATTTCATTATTTAGCTAATCAATTAGCTAAATAATATACTTATTCCTTTCATATTTCCTAAAATCATAATAATTGACTAATTAAGGGATTAATTACCTAATCAATCCCTTAATTATCAATTTGAAACATCCACTCAAACCTAAAAATACTAGAGGGCCGGCTATCCCATTCAAAACCTAATCCATTACCTTTTTCTACCTTTTCCCACCATTTCTTCCTTTTATTAGCCAATCAATACCATAATTACCAAAACATTTCCTTTCATATTTAATTAGCCAATTAATTGGCTAATTAAACCAAAAAATAAAACCTAAAATTCGCACCTAGTAGCCGGCCACATTTTCTCCCTAAAGTTAACCTACCTAGCCCTATAAATAGGTACCTATTTTCACCAAGGAGGAGATTCCAACACTTTGGCAAAAATCCCAAAATTCTCTAAACACTCTTTCTCTCTAAATTCTAACTTTGGCATCGGAGGTTCTTCGGCCAAAGCCCCCCCTATTCATTGTGGGCGCGTGAGGCTCTTGGCCTTGACCTAAGGTATTAATTGTTTTGTAGGTGCAATTTTGTCCAAGAAGAAGAAGGCGGAAATTTGCATCCAATATATATATATACACACACACACACACATGGTATGTTCATCAAAAGTAACCAAAAAATTATTGTACCAAAACATAGGTACATTTTTCCAAAACACAAAAGAAAAAAAAAAAGATATTAGGCTTAATAACATTATTAAATTTCTTCTATTAAACTTAACATGAATACGTTATCAAATCAAAGAAATAGAATATACCCATATAAGTTTAAAAAATGGATTAGAAAAAAGATTGAATGAATTTTATACAAAAAATGGGTGCATTTTACTTATTTTTTTATATTAAAAAGGGTACATTTTACATATAATAAATTGGTTAAGAATGGGTACATTTAAGATTAGAAAAAATTGAAAAATTATATGAATGGGTACATATAAATTAATGGGTACAAACTTATTCTAATTTTATTTTTCTTGTTTTGGAAATGTTTTGAATTGAAAATGAATTAGGAATAAAATAAGGGTGTGAGTATTAAAACCCTAAATCAATTACTAGTTTTTATTTTTTAAAATTATGTAACTGACATGTAATTCACTAATACATTAATACTATGAATTTTGATCAAAATCTAAAAACTGATAAAGTCTCAATGCATATTTTAATACTTTGCACGAAACTATGCCATCATTTTTGCCTGAGAAACGTACAAGAAAATGGTAAAATTTGTTGGTCGAAAAGCAATACCCTGCTTGTTCTTGTCTCTTGATTCACCGTTGATTTATTCAATCATGTGGCTACAACAAAGAGAGAAAAGGCAAGGCGATAAAGAGAGTGGATACCATTTTCCTTATCCAACTATTGAATTCAAGGGGAAAATGCTCTTAACACTTAGGCTACAAGCTTATTGTGAATATCGCATTTAAGAATGAGAGAAATAGAACAAACTCGAAATCGGAATAAAATAACCAAGATAAATAACACCAAGAATTAACGTGGTTCGGCTATATGTGCCTACGTCCACGGGGCAGCAACAACAATCTTTCACTATATCAATAATGCGTACAATGAATAATCTTGCCAAGTCTCTAGGATTAAGACTTGACTAAAACATATGAAAGAACAAGAACAAGAAATACACTCTTTATCTCTTTTCTTTTCTCTCGCACACACTTTACCCTTACAATATTCTCTCACTCCGACTCCTTGAGTGGTATACTATTTTTTGTTTTACTCCAATTCAAAACTAGCACAATGGCCCCCTTATATAGACATGATAAAGGTCTTCTTCAATAAGGATTACTAATCCTAAATGGAATCTAGTTATAAATCCTTCTCCAATTGAGCAACTAACTCTAATTGGGTAAACAATTTAAATTGGATAAACAACTTCAATTGGTAAACAACTTCGATTGGGAAAACAACTTCAATTGAGAAAACAACTCCAATTGGGTAAACAATTTAATCATCTAAGACTGTAATTCTAATAGAGTTAGGCCAACTCATCATGGGATGGAAAGAACCTAACAAAGCCCTTGTGAATCTGTGATAACAAGTGACTTTACTGTTGCACTTTCAAATATTCTATCTAATTACATACCAAACATCAGAGAACTTACTCCAACTCATTCTTCCTAATTTATTTGATCAATCTTAAAGGAAATCACAACATATCATATATATAGATAAGCAGCTTTCATTCATGGAGAAATAACTGGCTCCAATAACTGTACTTTTTGCCTTATTAGACGGGGCATAAAAACCTAATCAAACTTAGGTGGATGAAACTCCAAATCCCAACTCTGGTGTTTCGGGTGGATTCTTGGGTACAACCGGGGTTGTTATCCCCGATTAGTATCTCTCTCATCCCGCATACATCCTAGATTTTCTGAGTGACTAGACCCAGTAAACAACTAAGCGAACAGCTAGGAACTTAAGACTGAGAAAAGCAAAACATCACATGGCCAAGACACAGAGCCAAAGAAGACATAGCAACGCTATGATAGCATGAAGGTCTTCCAAATAAGAAACCACAACACATTAACTCTTAATAAAGCTCTTCGATATTTCAATCACCCATGTTTTAGAACAGCATGAGAGTGGTAGATTAGCAATCGAAATTTGAGTTTATTATGCTTGAGCTAGAGAGAGAGTGTGAACTTTCGTCAAGATACAGCAGAAAACACCATTAATTAACCCAAGTTCTTAAGAGTTAGGTCTACCTTTAAACAGAGTGCCTACAAGGATTAAAAACAAAGGCGGACAATAATGGAAACATCCATAGTGCAGTGGAAACTTGCTCATTTCATCTTTGCCTCAGTAAATAGAACATGATGATTTACCCGAGGGTCAAATTTCCGAAACTCAAGCTTCTCTTGCACCCTACTCGGCTTCTTCTTGACATAGAAAAATCCAGTCCCAGCTGCTGAGATAAGTCGGATGAACAAGGTAGCCTTCTTCTTCTTTTCACCCATTCCTTAATTCAAACAACAGAAGAGAAAGCCAATCAAAAGTGACAGAAAACGCACGTTTCACTACACAAACAAGGAAACATGTGCACAACTAAAGTTGTGCATCTGCAGTAATAAACGAAATTCCTACATGGCCTTAAACATCACCCCCCAACAAAAAGGAAAAATTAATCAAGAGGACCAACAACTATCTGTAATTCAAATCAATTCAGAACAGAAAATCCTATCAAATCGCACAGGGAGAGGTAGGCATAACATCAATAAAGCCTTTGCACAAGCAAGTTTACATCTTGACATGGCTGAGAATTTGAGATTCGTTTTCCCAAGCACACAAACAAATTTACAGTAGCACCTCCTCCTTTCAGATCTCTGCAACCCAACTAAAATTACCCAAATTTTATAGGAACCCCAGTTGAATTCTGAGTCAGATTGAGAAAAATATTAACACAATGGTTTAATCCCATAAATACAACAATGGTTTAATCCCTCTATCTTCCACCAAATCACATAAACACAACAATGGTTTAATCCCTCTATCTTCCATAACTACTACAACCATTCCCATTTCAGAAAAAAAAACAAAAAAAATCAGTAAGAAAAACAAAAAAAAAATCAGAAGAAAAAGAAAAGCAGAAAGATGGAGTATTTGTAGCCAGAAATGATGAGAAGAATTTCGGGCTTACTGTTCAACTTTTGTAAGCTGCAATCGCCTGAGAAGTGAGAGGTGCAAAGCCGAAATGGAGTCTCAAGGAGGAGACTGAAAACCCGCAGTGTATTCTAATTCAAGTACAAGGCCCAAGGGTTTAGGATGGAAAGACTAAACTGCCCTTTCAATCTCCCACTCCAAAGTCGCCTTGTGCGTGTGGAGCTTTGTTTTTCAATTGGATTTCTCTGAATTAATAAAATTTTATTTTTTTGCTTCAAAGTTTGGATCTTTTTTTATCGGAATCGATCGGAGGAGGAGCCGGATATGGCTAGCGCGGTGGGCCCAGCGGGAGAACCAATCCCAGCGTCGGCGGTGCTGACGGCGGCGGCGAAGCACATTCAGTTCAACTGCCAGGCCGAGAACGTGGCGTTTCTCAAGTGCAAGAAGAAGGACCCGAACCCGGAGAAGTGTCTCGACAAAGGTCGTCAGGTCACCCGATGCGTGCTCACCCTGTAAGCCAATCTCAAATCCGCTTCCTATTTTTCGTTTCACTTTTCTGAGTTTCTTATGAATTGTTACTCGTTTGTATGTGGACCCTTTTGAACCGAAACGTTTCGATGCTGTGATTTTTTGTGAATTGTGGTTTGGTTAAATGAGCTCACTGTGGTTCAAGGGGTATGCAATTGTTCAAATTTTGTGGGAAATATGCAGAAATAGAACTGATTAATCAAAAAAATACAACGGAGGGATGCTAAACATGCAATAAGTCGTATATAAACCACGGTTTGATGTAGAATTCGGATATGGAATGCCAAAATTTGTTAGGTCTAGCTGATTAAACATTGTATCTGAACACTTTTTGGTGCCAAGTGAGTGTTGATCCTCGTCGTTAGAGTCGCTTTAATCCCAATGCTTATTTGACAGGTCAGTTTTAGAACTTGTGTTAAATGCCATGAATTTTGAAATCATTAGTCTTGCTGCTATGGAGAATATCAGGATTAATCTTTTCTTTTTCATACATATCAACTTGATAAGTTTCATGGGGAGCAGATTTCAGGAACTTTGTTTCAAACCTTGTTGATTGTAGCAAGCAATGTGACCTTTTGTCCGTGTTTCCCTTGAGTTAAAGAAGAGCTTGTTTGGTAACATTTTCCTTGTATGAACAAGGGAGGAAGAATGGTGGTGGGAAGGAGTTGGAAGAAATGTGTACTGAATGGCACTTAATATGGGAACCAGAAATGATTTTGAGCTGTTTTTTTCCGTACATTCTCTTTCATTTCCCCTTCCTCGCTCCACCCTTCTTCATCCATACTTTACGCTCACTGATTTTCTTTTTATCTCTATCTAAAAAATGAAATAAAAGGTCGTACCCAGTGCACAAGGCTCCCGCTTTACGCAGGGTCTAGGAGAGGTGAATGTCGGCTAGTCTTACCCCCATTTTATGGAGAGGCTGCTCCCAAGTCTCGAACCCGAGACCTACCGCTCATGGGCGAAGACACTTGCCATCGCACCAAGTGCGACCTCATCTAAAAAATGAAATCTGAACCGAAAAATGAAAGGGTTATCAAACGGACCTGAAGATGCGAAACCCCTACACTGATGATGAAGGATAAATACTGTATATTGTGCTCTGTAGTAACTTGCATCTATTACAAAGTATTCGACTCAAATAGTCTATTGAACTTGGGTTTTATGACAGTATAGTGTTCTTTTGTTCAATTGCTTTCCCGTTTTTCTTTTATAGTCTGAACTCTGTCTTGATTTTTTTGTTTCCCGCTTAACATATCTTCGTTGTTCAGCGATGATGTTTGTAGCCATCCGTCATCATTCGCCTACATATAAACAATTTGCATGACTTATCCGATGGCCTAGAACGACTAGAGAGTATATCCCTAAACAGGAAAAATGAAAAACCCTACTCGTCTTATACTTGTATGCGACACTCTAGGATTTGATTAGGATAAAAGATGTTCTGTAGACACCTCCCTAACAGCCTTTGAATTGGATCAGTTCACAAGTATCATCATTCCCCTTACGTTCTCTTCTCGCAACTTCTTAAAACCTGCATCACATTTTCATATGTTCACTACTTCGTATGTGGAATTTGTTGTGATTTGGTCATCCTGTTAGTTTCGTGATGTCTATGCAAACGCACGCGCCATCAGATGCCTACACTGCCCCGAAAGAGGTCTGCATTGCTAGTTAAGAGTGGTACGTCTTGTTACACTTGTAAAAATGAGGCATGTATTCGTGCAGGCTGAAGGATCTTCACCAGAGGTGCACAACGGAGATGGATGGTTACGTTGGATGCATATATTACAATACAAATGAGTTTGATTTATGTCGCAAAGAGCAGGAGGAATTCGAGAAGAAGTGCCCGTTGGCATGAGAGCTTCACCCTGATCCCGCCATCATCCCAATAATACGGGCAGTGTCAAATGAGCAAATGATTGGTTTTGTCATGAAAAACGACTCCTTGTTCGGTCTCCTTTAAATTTTAGTATTACGAAAAAATGAGAGCTACAACTCAAGCCGATATTCTATCCTTTACTTTATAAATCAAAGAAAAATCAATTAACAAAAGCCAGGAGAGTACGGAAGGAGAAATCGAAGTGCGAATTTCCTGCCCTTTGCATAACAAACCACGCACGCATGGAAAAGGAAAATTGATTTTCAAACAATTGTACAAGTCACATTAAGCTCCATACAACTTAGATCCATTTGACTCGAACATACGAATAGTTTTGAATCCATAGGGCAAACTGATATGGTCCGAAACTCATATTTACCAAACATTCATGATCTTCGAGAATACTAAAGCATATCATCCAGTTAACCACGCTCAGAGTACACTTGGAAGCAGCAACCAACATACCCGACAGGCATCAGCGAGGACTGCACAGCAAAAAAATTATAGAGATTACCACCGCAGCACTTAATCGACAAGCTAGTGTAATGAAATAGATAGGATGTGAAGATGACCGTACAGCAATGGTTGTAGAAATTATCACCACCACTACATATTTGGTTAGACAATTTAAGTAAATAGGGTCACATCCCACCCCACATACTTCAGGGGACCTTAATCACCAACTACACTGAGACCAGGCTATTACCATCCGTCCTAGTAGGGACTTGGAACGTAAACTGTTTTTCATTGGTCTAACATTCAGAATTTTGGTTAGGACATTCAGCATTAAAAGAAAGGTAAACAGGCAAAACTTTCATCCTCGCCTAATCACTAGAACCAAGCCCAAAGTAATTAACAGCAGCACTCAAATTATACAACTAAATCCAACTGAAAAATAACAGAAAGCGATTTGGAAGTAGATATTGTTTTCAAAATAAAGTTAACAAAAATACACTAAACTCCACTTCCATAAGGCTATCTCTCACATAATATGAAACTATATTCCGCAAAATTAAGACCATACCAAACTCCACTTCCATAAGAGTACCTCTCAAACATAATATGAAATTATATTCCGCAAAATTAAGACCACACCAAACTCCTTCCATAAGGGTACCTCTCACATATAATATGAAACTATACTCAGCAAATTTAAGACCATATTCTGTGGCCTCAACAAAGCCTATTATGATTACACTAGAAATTATTTACATGAGTACAAAGTCGAAGAGGCATCTACCTGTAGGATTGCGAACAAGACCTTGGTGGACTGCAACTGTTACCCCTAGGACTCCTTGATCTGCTGGCTGCATACTCCCTCACATCACGAATACTCCGACCATTCTCCCTGGGACTTGGGGACCTCCTGTAGTCTCTACCATCACGAGGACTTCGACCATTCTCTCTAGGACTTGGGGACCTCCTGTAGTCTCTTCCATCCCGTGGTGAGGGAGATCGTGAAATTGATCTAGATTGCACTGGCGAGCGATAATCATCCTTAGCCCGACGGTCCCTTCCAATGGAAAAAACACCTAATTATGTATTGAAAAAAACATGGAGATGCAGCAAGAGAATAAAATAGAAATATTCCAAATGAATAAGAGATGCACTAAACCCATCTCCATTTTTCACAAGAAAAAAAACTTCCCCGATTAATAATCTAATACACATGCACAAGCAAAAGTAAGTTGAGCACAGATCACCAATTCAGAACCAATTATCTGTTTCAAGATAACCGAACAACTACTTACATCCTCTTCAAATCTAATTGATCAAGATATAACCTTTACCTGAACCTTTACAGGGTTCTGAACAAAAAATATGACACTTGGTCCAAACACTCAAGAGTTAGGCTAGTACTGGTTGATCAGCATCTGACAACTTCATAGCTCACTTTGCCCCAACTTTCTAAAACCAGATAATATCTTTTCCTTCAACATGTCACCATACTCTACCGGTAAGAACTTTGAATGGCTTCGTTTCTTTGTAGATGAATTCTTTCTTTGGCCAACTATAAGCTTTATATTCTTTCTTTACTGTATGGTATATGCAAAACAAGATATCAAACTTAACAAATTTCTCGTTAAAACTTACTTAAGCTAATATAAGAAGGAAAAATAAATAAATATTAGTAAAGATTCCAACATCTCTAACACCCAGTTAGCTTGTCAGTTCAGTCGGTCGTAGAAAGTCTCACAAACCAAAGTCATAACAATAGGAACCCAATGCCATTTGTGGATGAAAGTTGATGGTGGATACAGATAGTACTTATGGAGACCATTGGTGGAAGGTAAAGAAGTTGCCCGTCACTTTTATGATCTCTTTTCTCATTAAACTTTACTAATCCAAAAGTCTTTAAATTATATCTGCATAAACAAGGCCACCAAAATATTATACAATTCATTCTCTCTACCTATAAGAGTTCTCATTCTGTAATTTCACCAGAAACACAGGTATGTGAACATAAAAGGTGGATTCAGTTATATTTCAATGAAAATGTGATCACTCTAATGTACTCATCCATGAAAACAAGCATTGAATAACTATAACCATTGATCAATTTTGGAAAATATTATATCACCACGTGAACGTATTGCTGATGGATCTACCACACCTTTGAAAGGAGTAACCACCCTACCATGCAGATTACAACAGTATTATAGAAATGAAACAGTGTTAATGAATAAAAGAAGCATCTAGAGATAATATAGAGACCTTGAGTAACGCCTAACAGGTGATGGTGATGGTGACGGCGAGTAAGCTGTGACCAAAAACATTTGATGATAACTTAGAAGAAAGTAGGAGCAAATCATTTCACAAAGGACTTCAGAAAAAATTAAAAAAAATCTTGCATGTCATTCCGAAAAATCAAAGTGAAAGTTAAAACTGACAACGATATTGCCGTCTTGGGGACCTTGGTGAAGTTCTCCTTCTGGAGCTTCCTCCATGTCGACTACTGCAGATAAATATAAAATCAAAATAAAAATCACATTTATAAAATGAATATCTAATTATATTTAAGAAGGCATGCCAAATACAACGTACCTTACGCGGGTAGTTGTGCGCATTTCTTGAGGAGTTTTTCTATTCTCCTCAGCAAACACAATTCTTATCTCACGCCCACCAATAACTGTATGATTCAATTGTTGCTTTGCTTCCGCTGCATCCTCACCAAAACGGTACTTCACAAACCCAAAACCCCGTGGCTCCCTACAAATTGAAAGTAAAAACAGTGAGTCAAAATAACTTAAATTTGTGCTATCCAGAAAATTCACAAATATGTCCACTTTCACAGACATATCTATTCCAGAGTGCAAGTTTTACACCATTGACCCACAGCAGAAAAAGAAGAATCACATTACAACTTTTGCATAATTAACACTATAACAATCAAGAATGGCATACCCCGTATAGTAATTCTTTGGAAGATACACATCCTTTACCGGGCCAAATCGCTCAAATGGGATCCTAAGATCTTCTGGCCTGCATAAAACAGATAAACAACGAATAAGCCTAGATGTTCAGTAATGGAAATTATCATGAATCCGTGCTTTGGGGTTAAAAGACTTGTCTTAATCAACTCAATTAGCTGAAGGATTAAGTCTATAACCATGGAAAATCAAGTTATTCTTCGATAATATACTTGTATTAACCACAGATTAACACAAAATTGTAGATTTAGAGAAGTAAAGCACAAAAAATTACAAAAACAAAGAAAATCATTACCACCCAATTTTAGTCACGCATTTGAAGAATAACCACATAAACAACATGATTAAAAATCTTGACTGACAAAAACCAAAATATACATATCAATACAAACATATATACTTATATATATATACATGCAGACAAAGAGATAAGACAGAGAGAGATAGATACCTAGCGTCGAGAGGGAGATTGCGAACGAGCAAGCCAGAAGGGGCGGGTGAGCTACGGTCTCTGTGAGACCTACTGTCACGGTGTCGATCACGCGGCTTGTCGTCGTATCGCTTGCGTCCACGCGGCGGAGTCCGGCTGCGCCGACGAGGGCTGTAGCTTCTGCTTCGGCTTCTGTACCTGGCCATAGGGTTTGAACCCTGAGCGCGCAAAACCCTAACCCTAAGTCCCTAGTATGATGGTGGAGAAGAATAGAGTGCGGTGCAGATATCAATTTAGGGAGTGAATTGAATTAGATTTCAGGGAGTTTTAACAAAAAGCTCACGACGGTACTATTTATTTTAACGAAAAATCATATTTTTACACTAAAAAGTCAAACATAATACTATTTATTTTACCCTTTATTTTATCTTTATCATTAAAACTCAAAGTTTTCAAACCTTTTCATTAGTTTTCCTTAGATTTTAATAGATTTATGGGGTTTGTTATACTAACATCTCACTAATTGTTGAATATACTCATATTCTCACTACAACTCATATTTACTTTTTTAATTAAAATTTAGAGTAAAGTACAAAAAATTACCTCAATTATTGATGTAACGACACTCTCATACCTCATCTTTTAAAATTGACAATGTCATACCTCATCTTACGAATTTGTGCCAATGTCATACCTCCGTCAGTTTTTCTGTTAATTTCTCAGTTAAATGCTGACGTTGCTTGATTCCAAACCCACTTTCTATTAAAAATTTATTAAAAACTAAAAAAATCATTTAATATTTTTTAAATATTAAAATAATAAAGAAGGTTTTAAAAAAAAAAAATAATAAACCAAACAAAACTTCCCCCATCGCCCTCTCTCTTCTCCCCCATCTTCATCTTCTTTCCTATTCTTTCCCCCATCTGCTGCAACCCAGAAAAAAGAAATAAAAAAAAAAAACAAAACCTATCTTCATCTTCCCTAACCCCCCCTTCCCTGCAACTCATTCCTTTCTTCCTTCCTCTTGTCTTCCCTAAACCCTCCGCACCCACCCTCGCACCCACTACCTGCAACCCATAAAAAAATATAAAAAAAATTTTAAAAAAAACCTAGATCCCGTTCGCCAGGCCGATTCCACAGGTGGAGAACTTGAGCGCGGAGAAAATGGGGGGAATGGGTGTGGATTTAAGGAGTAAGATGTGTAGAGGAGGGAAGAGGGTGGGTGCAAGGTTGGGTGTGGAGGGTGGGTGCAGGGGAAGACAATTGGTTTTTTTTTTCTTTTCTTTTTTCTGGGTTGCAGCAGATAGGGGGAAAAAGAGGAAAGAAGATGAAGATGGGGAGAAGAGAGAGGGTGCACCGGGGGGGAGGGACAAAGTTTAGTTTTTTTATTCTATTTTATTTTATTTTATTTTTTCTGGGTTGCAGGTAGGAAGAAAAGGAAGGGAGAAGATGAGGGAGAAGAGAGAGGGCGTGCAGGGGGAGTTTTGTTTGTTTGTTTTTTTTTTTTTTCTGTCTGGGTTGGAGCAGATAGGGGGAAGAAGAGGAAAGAAGATGAAGATGGAGGAGAAGAGAGAGGGCGCCTGGGGGTAGGGGTAAGGGACAAAGTTTTGTTTTGTTTTGTTTTTTTTCTTTTTTTCTGGGTTGCAGTAGTAGGAAGAAGATGAAGGGAGATGAAGATGGGGAGAAGAGATAGGGCGCAGGGGGAAGTTTCGTTTATTTTGAATTTTTTTTAACCTTTCTTTATTATTTTATTATTTAAAAACTATTAAATGATTTTTTTTAGTTTTTAATAATATTTTATTAATTTTTTAATGGAAAGTGGGTCCTGAATCAAGTCGCGTCAGCAATTAACTGAGAAATTAACAGAAAAATTGACGGAGGTATGACATTGGCACAAATTCGTAAGATGAGACATGACATTGTCAATTTTAAAAGATGAGGTATGAAAGTGTCGTGACACCAATAAAGTGTCGTGACACCAATAAAGTGTCGTGACACCAATAGTTAAGGTAGTTTTTTGTACTTTACCCTAAAATTTATCTTAATACACTCCACCATTATTCCTCATAATAGCCTCACACCCTACACTATCAACATACACCCCGTATTTTCTGCATACACTTCACACTCTTCACACCTAGGTGCAAGTGAAAGATCATGGAAGTATCCTTCTTGTTTCAAAGAGACATATGGAGAGAGCCAGAAGGTATGTCTAGCTCTTAGGTGTCTACATTGCTTTAATAAATAACTCACAATAGACCAACGGAGCAGAACTTATTCGGTATTGTACAAGGTGGCTTAGCTGCTAACAGTGCTCATTTGTCACATAATTCAATGGTCCTCCCAGGAAACATTTGAGTTAAACGGAATTTATGTTTGCCTTCTACTCAAGTAGCTGAGAGGTGTTCCTTGAAAGATGAAACTTCAAACAAACAAGGCAATCCAACTGATCAAAGGACATTGAAGGTTCGAATCAAAATGAACCCTGATGACATAGCTCGAAAGAATGTAGCAATATATAGTGGTCTTGGACTTGGCTCTCCAATTTCATCTTTGGAGAACAACCCTGAGGAAAGTAAGGAGATGATACCTCAATCTAAAGTGATTGTGGATGACTCTCCCACTAACATTAAAGTAAGCTAAGATATTTTAGTGCAGTTTCTATTGCTGCAAATGAACCTAAAATGATATGTTGCATTGATGGGCGTTGTTTATGTTTTGTAACAATTTATGACTTCTTTTCATAGTCCTGGAGATGCATTGATATCACCACTTCATAACAGTTTTCTTTGCTTAATAAGAAAGTGAGAGCTTTATCAACAAAAACTAGTGCCTTCATCTAAGGGTCATCGTGAACATTCATCTTTTTTAGTAGAAGAAGATAAATAATCTTGGGATATATAAATTAAAATGATTTTGGTGAACTTAGAAATTTTTTATTTTTTTAAGGTAGAAATTGTCATTGCGTAGTAGGTTAAATAACTTATCTAGTATTAAATTTAATGTGGGGTGTATTCAACAATATATAGGGTACTAATATAAAAACCGTTTAAGGGGGTGTATTAAATTGGAATTTTGACTTTGGGTTTTTATCATAACTTGTCTATGAAATCGACCCTCACTATCAAGATAGTCTTTGAAATTGAAAATTAATTAATATAGTCCTTGAAAATAGGTGTCGCAAATTAATGTGGTCATTCCATCACAATTCTGTTAAAAATTCTGTTAAGTGTCGATGTGACACATAAATGGATCTTATAAATCCTTTTTTCTCATTAATGGTCATTGAAATTGACATGTGACATCAAAATAGTCTTTGAAATTGACCTGCAACATCAAAATAATCATTGAAATTGAAAATCGATCAATGTAGTCCCTCAAGTAAGTGTCACAAATCAATGTAGTCCTTTTATCACAATTCCGTCAAAAAATTTATTATGTGATGATGTGACACATAAATGGATCATACAAGTCTAATTAAATTAAAAAAAAATACAAATAAGTTTAATAATTTAATAGTTAATAAAAAGTTACGGATCCAAAAACCCAGTCCTGCAATCACCTCTAATCTTAATCCACATTCCTCTACCTCCTTCGTTGTCTATTCTTTAAAACAAATCTCAGTACACTCATCTTTACACACTTTGATACCCTTCATCGAATTGAACCTAGATCGAGATCACCTTTGGTGAGGGTCAATTTCATTGTGCAACCTAGATTGACATACTTCAACACTCCATTTGGAGTAGGTCCTATTATAAGAAAAAAAATTCTATTGTGCAAAAAAGGTATTTGGACAATTTTTTTCATTAATTATTAAACCTACATCAACACATAATAAAAAAATTCACATAATTGTAGCGGAAGATTCGTATTGATTTGTGACACCTATTTTCAAGGACTACATGCATCGATTTTTAATTTTAGGGACCATCTTGATGGTGTGGGTCAATTTCAGGGACAATCTTGATGGTGTGAGTTAATTTTAGGAACTATTTGTGATAACAACCCATAAATCTCGTGGGGCCCATTTGTGTGCCACATCAGCACTTAACAGAATTTTTAACAATCTTGTGACGGAAGGACCACATTGATTTGCGACATCTGTTTTCAGGGACTATATGATTGATTTTCAATTTCAAGGACCATCTTGATGGTGAAGGTAAATTCCAGAGACCATTTGTGATAAAAACTCTTTGACTTTTAAGGCTTATTAGTCAAAATACCTTCTGAAACTATCATTGAGTCTTAGTTTATCTCTTGAAATTGGTTTTTGTCTCACTTTGACCCCTAAAACTGATATTTTTAACTCTTTTGTCTCACTTTACCCACTTTCATTAATGAAATGTTAAATCTAAGGTTATTTTAGACATTTCAATTTTTGCACATTTATTTACCTCTAGTCCCACACTAAACAAGTCTCAATTTTATTTTCGACAACTCTAATTCAACGCATAAATTTTGGGCATTTTTTAAAATAAATTATCCAATCAATAGAAAAATTCCGAGCAACAAAATCATTGTATCAACCAAAATAAGGGTTACATTTGTTTGTATGTCATTTTACTTGCAAGACATCCATGTATTGGCTCGAACTTTGCAATTGAAAAATATTCATTACAACAAAATCATAATACCGTTAAGCTATCCTATCCAAAATACTTTCAAAACCAAAAAAATCATTTAAAGCAAATGTGCACAATTTGAAACAAAAAAAAAAAACACATTGTTGAGCACTAAATCCACTAGGCATGAGCTAGTTCAAACTGTGCACATTTGCTTTAAATGATTTTTTTGGTTTGGGAAGTATTTTGGTTAAGATAGCTTAATGGTATAATGATTTTGTTGTAATGAATATATTTCAATTGCAAAGTTTCGAGTCAATACATGAATGTCTTGTAAGTGAAATGACTCTACGAACAAATGTAACCCTTATTTTGGTTGATACAATGATGTTATTGCTTGGAATTTTTGTATTGATTGGATAATTTATTTTAAAAAATGCCCAAAATTTATGCATTTGAATTAAAGTTGTCCAAAATAAAATTGAGACTTGTTTAGTGTGGGGACTAGAGGTAGATAAATGTGTAAAAACTAAAATGCCTAAAATACTATTAAATTTAACAGTCCATTAACGGAAGTGGGTAAAGTGGGACAAAAGAGTTGAAAATGTTAGTTTCAGGGGTAAAGTGAGACAAAACCAGTTTCATGGGGTAAACTAAGACTCAATGATAGTTTCATAGGGTATTTTGACTAATAAGCCTTTTTTAATGAATTTAGGTGTATTCAATCAGGATTTTAAGTGATTTTTT